CACTCTCCACTCCCCCCCACCCCTAATGGTCCTTAGTCCCTCCCCTAATGGTCCTTACTCCCTCCCCTCCACCCCTAATGGTCCTTACTCACTTCCCCCCACCCCTAATGGTCCTTAGTCCTAATGGTCCTTTATTAAAAATAAATTTTGCAAGTTACTAAAGAAAAAATACACAATGTTAACCTATTCAAAACACAGCAATCAGGTGTATACATCGTATTTTACATTTTTACAGTAACGAGACAGCCATCGTTCAGGAGCAACGTGTATAATACATACCGTAATACCTTTTTTACCGGAGACTTTGCTTTCCTTCATTTGCTTGTGTCATGTATTTTTAATACTTAAATAGAACCAAAGACTGTTAAAAAAAACTTCAGTGAACTGGGTGGGAGGGAGGTAGATGTTGGAGAGGATGGATAGAGAACTAGATGGTGTGGATCAGCAAGTCCTCGCTTTGTTATAGTGTTTGCAGCAGTGATAACATTTAGCCACTTTATAATTTTATAAATAAAGGTAGTTCTATCCAGTCCGTTTCTATCAAGGTTATTTTTTATATACTTTCTCCCTGCATATGCCTTTATTTCCTGCAGCATCCTTGTCATGCACCATTACTCTTTTCAACCATCAATACCATTTCCTTCACATTTTCAAAAAGTATGGACACCGCCGACAGAATTAAAATTAGATTAGGTGTTCCGCTATACATTTTTAACCCCTTAAGGACCAAACGTCTGGAATAAAAGGGAATCATAACATGTCATACATGGCATGTGTCCTTAAGGGGTTAAAAAAAAAATTATTATTTTTTTTAGGTGGAAATGTTGGACCGTTGTGAATCTGAATACTGGAACCATATGTCCCAAGCCTCTCTCCAGTTTTTAGTGGAAGTTCTCATTTGCCTACCTGATGTTTCACATCTACCAGCTTGGAAAAGTGTTGATTAATTCTTCCCTAGTAGGTATCTGTTTGGAAAGCCAATTTCTGGCCAGGAGGCTCAGTGCTGCTATCAAAATGGGATCAATTGAAATCTCAATGTGTCTGGGTTGATATTCTGGGTATATAAGGATTTCAGGTTTTTTTGGAATTGTGAAACTAGTGATGTTTTTAATTAAAGTAATTTTTGTCTCTCAGAACTTTTCCAGTTTAGGGCAGCCCCACCATATGTGCACCATATCGCCTGGTTCCTCTATGCATCTCCAGCATTTGTTTGATGATGTAGGGCCAGTGGTAGCTAATCTACCTGATGCTAAGTTATTTTTCTATATAGTTTGAAGTGGAAAGCACACAAAGTAATAACCTTTGTAAGAGTTCCTTGTATTGCATCGCTGTTGTTCCGGGATTGGGTGCCCTATATCCTTGTCCAAGGCCCGATCCAATGACAAAGTGGAAACTACATTTTTGCTGTTTACTTGCATATAGGGTGGACATGTTTTTTTTTTTTTGTATTTGTGATTATGCGGTGCAAAATGTTTCAAAATCTGTCAGCGGTTGCTCATTCACAACTTTTGTAGACACCTTAACATATTTAGACATTCTAGAACATATTTGTCTGTAAGAGAACATAGCTGTGTTTGGTGGAGTGTACAGGGTAGCATTGAGCCTTTGTCCTGTATTTGATATAAAAATATTACATTACATCTAACCCATGTTCGATAGTTAACCCCTTAAGGACACAACTTCTAGAATAAAAGGGAATCATGACGGAATATTTCCGTCATGTGTTCTTAAGGGGTTAAAGATCGGAATAATATTCTGTAACGTTTTAGGTTGGGTAGCTAAGGAGACGGGGTGACAGCTGTAAAAGAGATTTTCTATGCCTATCCCAAATGTGTAATGTCGTTCTAGTGACAGGTAATACATCCAACATATTTGGTCTGGTAGCCAAGGTAGGTTGGTCATATCTATGCCATTCGTCCAAAAGGTGTTCACAGACACCCATTGTGGGGTATTACCACTCTGGATGCTTGCTAGTATTGCCGCTTTGTAATAGGTTTGTAAATGTGGAAGTCCCATGCCAACAACATTTATGGGTCTGTATAAAGTATCTATTGCAGTAAATGGGTGTTTCCATATATATAGGTGTATTATGAGGCACAAATGTAATTGTATTACATGTCCACTAGGTAGTGCAATCGTAAAGACAAAAGAAAACCTTAACCGTATTACGTGAATTCATAACTGTGGTCACTAGATGTCAGTAGAGTTTTATTTATATTAGCCGTCAGTCATAGGGCTTAGACTGCCCTACATGATATGATTGGAGGGAGTAAATAAAGAGTAGTAAGACTTTTGACTGTAAAACAGAAAAAAAAAAAATACAGAAAGCACTGGTATCGCTAGGTCACAAAGCTATAAAAGAAAGCTAAACATGCCCTTATTTTCAGTTTTCTGGTGGGGAAGGAAAAAGATTTGTTTGTTTTTTATGGGATACCACGTATGTACGGTAAACCGAGAACATGTTTATTAAAGTTACAAAAACTGACTATAAAGCATGGTTGGCCTGGCAAAAGACAAAAGCTCCTTACCATAAAAAATATCCAATGATGAGCCCTGTATGGATTAAAGATTGGGAGCAAGGGTATTAAACTTTGTTATAAGGGGGTGGGGGACCGGACCGCCATGCTGGTTGGTGGCAATCTCAATGAGCTCCTGCTAGAAACCTGCAATTAAGCTGCTTAAAAGCCAATAATCAACTCACCCCGTGCCTACAAGCGGCCAGCAGAGACCAAAGTGGCTGCTGATACCGCTGGTGGAGCTTTAGACTGGATGTTGAGAAGCCTTGCAAGGAGTTGGTGCATCTGGAGCTTGCGGCCTTCTTAAGCGGTGGGTGAGGTGGACAGCATCCACCTTATCTACCTGCAGAACGCCACAGGACAGCTCCATGAGGCATTGTCTCCTCGGTCCCGTTTCCCCCCCTCTGGACCAGCGGGGGTCATCCCAGTCCACACTGGCTCAACGCACATACCTCTGCCAATCCCTGCGGCAGCACGCAGACTGAGCCTTGCATGTGGTGACAAGATGGCGGACAAGCTTCCCTCATCGGTGTGCGCAGCCTCACGGAAATCAGCATGCCACGATGGAGCAAATGCTCCAACGGTTCGACAAAACCTTCCACCGGTTTTGGGCTAAGCTGGAGGCATGATTACCAGCCACCACAAAACACAACAAAAGAGGTGAGTAGTGGAGGCGGCGAGAGCGGGAGCAGCCTCCCTTGGTCGAAGCTCAAATTCCGGCATCAACTCTCCACTCTGATCGCCTACCTGGGCCGAGAGTCCTGAGGAGAACCACACCGCAGGAAGACCTGGGTCTCTCGAAGCGCCCGTCAAGGGAAAGACTCGACCTCCTGGAGCCATCGAGTCTGTGGCCTACAGATGCCAGTCTCCACACGGGCCTGGGGCTGGAGAGGTCCTCAAACCTACCTCTTTGCACTCTCCCGCTTCACACCGCAGCATTAAGCAGTCTTGCGGCCCCTGTGACTCCTAGACCGAGAATGGGCATTGGCTGGCGACGGGATGGCTGTTGTGCGAACTCTCACTGCTTTCAATAAGAAGGTTATGCGCAACTCTGCCACGGCGGGGCCACTTAGTGTTTATACATGCTTAGGGGATATGCTTGCGATAGGGTGCAAAGTCTCATTAGTTTACTAAGTTCCAGTGTTATACTCAAGAATCTAGCATGTCATTCAGCATCATCAGAAGTGGTAGCCTGATCCAATAACAATGCTTCCCCATAGGATTGACTGAGACTGACAAGGAGGCAGATCAGGGGCAGAGCCAGCACAATTCAAACACAGCCCTGGCCAATCAGCATCTCCTCATAGAGATGAATTGAATCAATGAATCTCTATGAGGAAAGTTCAGTGTCTGCATGCAGAGGGAGGACACACTGAATGTTTGGATGCATTTTAGGCAGCCATGACCCAGGAAGGATCTCTAACAGCTATATGAGGAGTGGCCAGTGAAGTTATCACTAGGCTGTAATGTAATTGTAAACACTGCATTTTCTATGAAAAGACAGTGTTTACAGCAAAAACCCTGAAGGTAATGATTCTACTCACCAGAACAAATTCAATAAGCTGTAGTTGTTCTGGTGACTATAGTGTCCCTTTAATCATAAGTGTCCATGCCTAACTAGACCAGTTTAATTCACAGCTTCTGTTTATCAGTTACGACATGGACATAGCCTATATAACTTGTATTTCTTTAAGTAATGGACGCAGATACCAGAGCATACTATGATTTCTACTACTGTGCCTAGCAATTACTCTGCCCAGCAACATGACTATTAGAATTGTTTAGATTAACGTCCGCTACATTACCCATGTCTACTCAGTTCATATTAAATCCCAGAAGTCTCGTCCTCAGTTGCGACCTGTTCATAGCCAGTATCACTTGTATTTCTTTAAATCATGGGCACAAATACCAAAGCATATCATAAGCCCTTATTGCTTCACGTTACTATAAGCCCTCATTGCTTCACATAGTAAATACCCTAACAAGCAACATGTTTATTAGCACTATCTTGTTTAATACTTTACAAACAAAGAAAGAGGCAGCACAACTCGAGGTTATAATGTAAGCTTCAACTATATCTCAGATGTGTATTCGCCTGCTATAACCGATTTTATTTATTCTGTATTGTATAACTTTGCCTCACTAAAAGAAAGATTGACAAAAAACAAACTTTGTAAGGGGTGCATGGAAGCTCCAGGTTAGTTTAATTGAGTCCCAGAAATAGTATGAGTGACCCCTTAAGTGAATTAGTTATGTCTAGTTTATAGGAAAAAAGATGTATATAATTTGTATGTATCAATTACCATAACCCCCTTGGGCACAGAAACTCGAGAAAACGTGTTTCCGTAACTACCCAGTTTTAAAAGTTTGACATGCAAATCATCAAGATTTCAAAAGTCAAATAAGGAACTGCACTCAATCCATCAATAAAGACCTGGGTGACACCGAATATGGGGCCAGCACCAAGACCCAAAACGTTGTTTGTAGTCAAAAGAAAGAGAGGAAAAAAGGTTCTGGCACTACCAAGATTTAGATTGGCAAATTTATTGGAACTAAAGTGTTCAGCAGCAACGTTTCGACCAAAGTGGTCTTTTTCAAGCTTGTTTAGGTCGAAACGTTGCTGCTGGACACTTTAGTTCCAATAAATTTGTCACTCTAAGCCTTGGTAGTGCCTGGACCTTTTTCTCTCTCTTGTGATTACATACAAATGACCAAAGACAGGCTTTGTGTTCCAGACTTCAACCTGCCTTTCTACAGATACCCTTAGCAATGGACGCTGTTTTAAAAGATCCAAAGGGACCAGTGACCAGGACCCAGCCATGGACTGTCCAGGTTTTGACCAGGTGGATCTCTCATCATCATGGCTATCTGTCTGCTTTTTACTGACTGCTTTACCCTTCAGCAGAAAGTGCAAGGCAATGCTCTTTCAATGTTTCTATAGGAGTAGCATTGCTGGAACAGCATGGAGATTGTAACACATGCTTCTCTTTAAGAGAAGCACTGGTGTAGCCAGGAGACCTAGTGATGTTCTGACAGAGATAGAGAGGGACTGTGGTGAGCAGTTCTCTCGTCACTGGATTGGTAAATTAACTTTTGATTTTTTACAAGAAAGTGGGCCTTTATAATACAGTTTTTGATGTACCTGTATATTTAGTGATTATGGACAGCCAATATATATATATACAAAAACTGTACGCACACATATAAAACACATACACACACTCTCTGTATAATGTGCATTCTTCATATAATGTACACACTCTGTATAATGTACTCTCTCTGTATAATATACATGCTGTATAGTGTACTCTCTGTATAATGGATACTTTATGTATAATGTACACTCACTCTCTGTATAATGTACTCTCGCTGTATAATATACATGCTGTATAGTGTACTCTGTATAATGGATACTGTATGTATAATGTACACTCACTCTCTGTATAACGTACTCTCTCTGTATAATGTACATGCTGTATAGTGTACTCGCTGTATAATAGATACTTTATGTATACTGTAATGTACACTCACTCTCTGTATAGTGTACTCTCTCTGTATAAAATACACTCTGTTTAGTGTACTCGCTGTATAATAGATACTTTATGTATAATGTACACTCACTCTCTGTATAGTGTACTCTCTCTATATAATATATACGCTGTATAGTGTACTCGCTGTATAATAGATACTTTATGTATAATGTACACTCACTCTCTGTATAGTGTACTCTCCCTGTATAATATACACGCTGTATAGTTTACTCTCTCTGTCCTATGTACAGTCTCTGTATAATGTATATTTTTTAATGTACACTGTCTATATAATGTATATTCTGTATAATGTATATTTTGTATAATATACTCTCTCTGTATAGTGTACACACTCTCTATAACGTACACTCTCTGTATAATGTCCTCTCTCTGCATAGTGCACACACTGTCTGCATAATGTACGCTATCTCTGTATAATGTACACTATCTATAATGTATTTTACACTATCTCTGTACAATGTGCACTCTGTATAATGTACACTCTGTACAATGTACTCTGTATAATGTACACTATTTTTGTATAATGTATACTATCTCTGTATAATGTATACTCTGTATAATGTACACTATCACGTATACTATATCTGTATAATGTACACTATCGCTGTATAATGTATACTCTATATAATGTATATTCTGTATAATGTACACTGTCTTTATATAATGTACACTGTCTCTATAAAATGTACACTGTCTCTGTGTAATGTATAACCAGGAAAGCTCTATATAATGTATACTCTATATAATTTATACTCTATGTAATGTATATTCTGTATAATGTACACTGTATAATGTAATGTATATTCTGTATAGTTTATACTGTATATTCTGTATGAGGTACACTGTATATTCTGTATAATGTAATATATATTCTGTATAATGTACACTGTATAATGTAATATATATTCTGTATAGTTTATACTGTATATTCCGTATAATGTACACTGTATAATGTAATGTATATTCTGTATAGTTTATACTGTATATTCTGTATGATGTAATGTATATTCTGTATAGTTTACACTGTATATTCTGTATAGTTTATAATATATATTCTGTATAGTTTATACTGTATATTCTGTATGATGTAATGTATATTCTGTATAGTTTACACTGTATATTCTGTATAGTTTATAATATATATTCTGTATAGTTTATACTGTATATTCTGTATATTTTATACTGTATAATGTAATGTATATTCTGTATAGTTTACACTGTATATTCTGTATAATGTACACTGTATAATGTAATGTATATTCTGTATAGTTTACACTGTATATTCTGTATAATGTAATGTATATTCAGTATAGTTTACACTGTATATTCTGTATAATGTAATGTATATTCTGTATAGTTTATACTGTATATTCTGTATAATGTACACTGTATATTCTGTATAATGTAATGTATATTCTGTATAGTTTACACTGTATATTCTGTATAGTTTACACTGTATATTCTGTATAGTTTATACTGTATATTCTGTATAATGTACACTGTATAATGTAATGTATATTCTGTATAGTTTACACTGTATATTCTGTATAATGTAATGTATATTCTGTATAATGTACACTGTATATTCTGTATAGTTTATAATATATATTCTGTATAGTTTATAATATATATTCTGTATAGTTTATACTGTATGTAATGTATAACCAGGAAAGCTCTGTTCCTCCTTAAAACCTAAAGTAAACAAGAGCACAGAGCGTCAGACAGGAGCAGACAGCGCCCGTAAGGTACGAAGCCTGTGGTTGGCTGGTGGTCGTTCAGGGTGATGGAAGACGTGCTCTGATTGGTTAATTCTTTCAGAAGCTCCCGACTTGGACCCCGGCATTACCTATTGTTATTATGGACAGCAACTAGTTCACACAGGGGGAGTGTGAGTGTGAGCACAGAGACAGGGGGAGTGTGAGTGTGAGCACAGAGACAGATAGTGAGTGTGAGCACAGAGACAGGGGGAGTGTGAGTGTGAGCACAGAGACAGATAGTGAGTGTGCACAGAGACAGGGGGAGTGTGAGTGAGCACAGAGACAGAGAGTGAGTGTGAGCACAGAGACAGGGGGAGTGTGAGTGTGAGCACAGAGACGGGGAGTGTGAGCACAGAGACAGGGTGAGTGTGAGCACAGAGACAGACAGTGAGTGTGAGCACAGAGACAGACAGTGAGTGTGAGCACAGGACAGAGAGAGAGACAGTGAGTGTGAGCACAGGACAGAGAGAGAGACAGTGAGTGTGGGCACAGGACAGAGAGAGACAGTGAGTGTGGGCACAGGACAGAGAGACAGTGAGTGTGGGCACAGGACAGAGAGAGAGACAGTGAGTGTGAGCACAGGACAGAGAGAGAGACAGTGAGTGTGAGCACAGGACAGAGACAGACAGTGAGTGTGAGCACAGGACAGAGAGAGACAGTGAGTGTGAGCACAGTACAGAGACAGACAGTGAGTGTGAGCACAGGACAGAGACAGACAGTGAGATTGTGAGCACAGGACAGAGAGAGACAGTGAGTGTGAGCACAGGACAGAGACAGACAGTGAGATTGTGAGCACAGAGACAGACAGTGAGATTGTGAGCACAGAGACAGACAGTGAGATTGTGAGTGTGAGCACAGAGACAGACAGTGAGATTGTGAGCACAGAGACAGTCAGTGAGATTGTGAGCACAGTACAGAGACAGACAGTGAGATTGTGAGCACAGAGACAGACAGTGAGATTGTGAGCACAGTACAGAGATAGACAGTGAGATTGTGAGCAGGGATTTAGAGATATAAACCAGTGAAGGACACGAGTTTAGTATTGAGGATGAGGGAGAGTGTGAAGAAGAGAGAGAGAAACAGTGATAGAGGGAGCTACTGTTAGACTGAGACAGAAAGACAGAGTCACATAGAGAGACAGAGTTAGTGAGACAGTGATAGAGTGAGAGTGAGGGATACAGAGTGTGAGTGAGTGATAGAGTTAGAGAGACAGTGATAGAGAGTGTGAGTGAGGGAAAGAGTCAGTGACAGAGTGTGAGTGAGTGATAGAGTTAGAGATACAGTGATAGAGAGTGTGAGTGAGGGAAAGAGAGAGACAGTGATAGAGAGTGTGAGTGAGTGATCGAGTTAGAGAGACAGTGATAGAGAGTGTGAGTGAGGGAAAGAGTTAGAGAGGCAGTGATAGAGAGTGTGAGTGAGGGATAGAGTTAGAGAGTCAGTGATAGAGAGTGTGAGTGAGGGATAGAGTTAGAGAGGCAGTGATAGAGAGTGTGAGTGAGGGATAGAGTTAGAGAGTCAGTGATAGAGAGTGTGAGTGAGGGATAGAGTTAGAGAGTGTGAGTGAGGGATAGAGTTAGAGAGACAGTGATAGAGAGTGTGAGTGAGGGATAGAGTTAGAGAGACAGTCAGTAGAGTGCAGGGTCTGTCTGTCGGGGGATGTAGAGACAGCACAGGGAGGTACCTATCTGTGGGGGAGTGTCAGTAGGAGGGTCAGTCTCCGGCCTGGCTGGGTGAGGATGCTGTGGAGGTCCAGCACTGCAGGCTGAGGAACACACTGTCCAAACTGTGAGTATCTGCCCTAAATGAGGATTATTTACTAAACAACGTTACGGGATCGCTTTTCCCCTTTATCAAACTCTTCTTACTAACCCTCGCTAATTCTTATCGCAGAGCTAGTCTGCCTGGGCTCATCCTTTCTCCCCATCACTAGTTATTAGCCTGGTTCATCCCCCTCCATCACTAATTACTAATCCTGGTTCATCCCTCCTCCCCATCACTAGTTATTAGCCCGGTTCAGCCCCCTCTATCACTAATTACTAATCCTGGTTCATCCCTCCTCCCCATCACTAGTTATTAACCTTCCCACCACTAGTTATTAGCCTGGTTCATCCCCCTCCATCACTAATTACTAATCCTGGTTTATCCCTCCTTCCCACCACTAGTTATTAGCCATCCCACTACTAGTTATTAGCCTGGTTCATCCCTCCCCCCATCACTAATTACTAATCCTGGTTCATCCCTCCTTCCCACCACTAGTTACTAACCTGGCTCATTCCCTCCCCCCATTAATAGTAAGTAGCCTGGTTCTTCTCCCTATCACTAGTTACTAATCCTGGTTATTTTTACTGCCCATCACTAGTTACTAATCCAGGTTATCTTTATTTCCCATCACTAGTTACTGATCCTGGTTATCTTTATTTCCCATCACTAGTTACTAGCCTGGTTCATTGCTTGTCACCTCCCTCCACTACTAATAATTAATCCTGGTTCATTCTTCTACCCACTTTAATTACTAATCCTGGTTCATCCCTCCTCCCCACCACTAGTTACTACTACCCACTTTAATTACTAATCCTGGTTCATCCCTCCTTCCCACCACTAGTTACTACCCTGGTTCACCCCTCTCCCCATCACTAGTTACTAGCCTGGCTCATTTATTTTCCCTATCACTAGTTGCTAATCCTGGTTATCTTTACTGCCCACCACTAGTTACTAATCCTGGTTATCTTTACTTCCCACCACTAGTTACTAGCCTGGTTCGTTGCTTCTCACCATCACTAGCTGCCTTTTCATTCCCTCTCTCCACTACTAATAATTAATCCTGGTTCATTCTTCTACCCACTAGTAATTACTAATTCTGGTTCATCCCTCCTCCCCACCACTAGTTACTACCCTAGTAGTAACTCCTCACTGCTGAGCTCAGACAGAGAACTTATAGCTAAAGAGAAGGCTCTAGTAGAGGCAGCAGGTGATGCCTGGCACGCCCTACATACAAATTTGAACTGTTCTAACACAGTGTAGTGGTTATGGTGCTTGGAATGTTCTTTTAAAGAGATACTCCTAGTGAAACACTGCACATAAAGACTATGGCCACTTCAGATCACTAAAGTGCTCATGATGCATGGAGTAATTCTCTTAAAGGACCACTATAGTGCCAGGAAAACATACTTGTTTTCCTGGCACTATGGTGCCCTGAGGGTGCCCCCACCCTCAGGGTCCCCCTCCCGCCGGGCTGGATGGCGAGGAAAGGGGTTAAACTTACCTTTTTTCCAGCGCCAGGGGGGAGCTCTCCTTCTCCTCTCCGCCTCCGATCCTACTCTTCGGCTGAATGCGCATGTGCGGCAGGAGCTGTGCGCGCATTCAGCCGGTCTCATAGGAAAGCATTCATAATGCTTTCCTATGGACACTTGCGTCTTCTCACTGTGATTTTCACAGTGAGAAGCACGCAAACACCTCTAGCGGCTGTCAATGAGACAGCCACTAGAGGCTTTGGAGGCTGGATTAACCCATTTATAAACATAGCAGTTTCTCTGAAACTACTATGTTTATTTAAAAAAAGGGTTCATCCTAGAGGGACCTGGCACCCAGACCACTTCATTAAGCTGAAGTGGCCTGGGTGCCTAGAGTGGTCCTTTAAGAACGATTGCACTGACTCATGGCCTCCCAATACAGCCTAACTTCATTTCAGCTAATTTGCCACACAGCTATCAACTAAACCTGCCCAGTCTGCTCTCCAAACTCCCACCGGTTTGTCTGCTGTATTCCTGTAACTCTGGTCACTCAGATGCCCAATGCTCCCCTCCTGCCCCACTGGACCGTGTTCTTTTGCTCAGCACCAACTCCTCTATACTAACTTCCCAGCTACACTCTCATTAACTTCTCCGTGCCCCTAAAACATATTACCATATTTTGTTTCTTCAGCTCGCCTCTTCCTCCTCCATACTGCTATCTTGACCCCAAGTCTCTATTGGTTCTCATTGTGAACTAAGCCCATTGCCAGCCTCGGCCTTTCCCCCAGCTGTTTAATCTTTTCTGTCCTAATATTTCTGGAGTCCTTGCTGCAGTCCTAGTGTTGCCCAGTGGATTTTTGGGGAATTGGTTATCAATTTAATGTTCGTACTTATTGCACTGAAGATATTTTATGAGTTATTCTGTTCCCCAAATTGCATGCATTTGTAAACAACATTTATTTATATATCTGCAAAGTCTTCCATAACGTGTTTGACTGAGTACCAGCAGCCCTTTGTGTAAAGAAGGCATCACCGTAGATTTTTGCAGAATAAAGAGTTGGATGTAGCGGTCTTGTAATAACATGGCTACGGGTTGGTCTGTGTGTGAGGCTTTATTCTGAAAGTTGTGGCACTGACAGCTGGTCCAAGTGTTCAGATAGCATCACCAATGGCTGCAGAGGCTATGGCTTGGGTACTGGTCGGCCTCCACAAGAAAAAGGGATCACTGTGCCTGTACAATTACCGGCTGGACTCCGTGTGAGGAAGGGGTCTCTGTACCCATTGTGGTATATACAGCATTAATGGCTGGACTCTGTGTGAGAAAGGGGTCACTGTACCTATAGTGATATATACAGAATTAATGGCTGGACTCTGTGTGAGAAAGGGGTCACTGTACCCATAGTGATATATATAGATAATTAATGGCTGGACTCTGTGTGAGGAAGGGGTCACTGTACCCATAGTGATATATATATAGAGAATTAATGGTTGGACTCTGTGTGAGGAAGGGGTCACTGTACCTATAGTGGTATATACAGAATTAATGGCTGGACTCTGTGTGAGGAAGGGGTCACTGTACCCATAGTGGTATATACAGAATTAATGGTTGGCCTCTGTGTGAGGAAGGGGTCACTGTACCCATAGTGGTATATACAGAAGTAATGGCTGGACTCTGTGTGAGGAAGGGGTCACTGTACCCATAGTGATATATATATATATATAGAGAATTAATGGCTGGACTCTGTGTGAGGAAGGGGTCACTGTACCCATAGTGATATATATATAGAGAATTAGTGGCTGGACTCTGTGTGAGGAAGGGGTCACTGTACCTATAGTGGTATATACAGAATTAATGGCTGGTGCCTGGCTGCTGTCCCTGCAGTCATAAAAACAACAATGTTTACATTTATCAGACAGCCTGCCTCTAGTGGCTGTCAGTCAGGCAGCCATGAGACGTACTTCCTTGTGAACGTTCAGCATCACACTGCTTGTCATAGAGATGCATTGGATTCATAGCTTTTGTATGGAAAGCATCTGATTGGCTAAGTGCAGGGATTGCGGTGCATGCCCGGTAGGGTCTCAGTGATTTCTATAGAAGCATTGGGCTGTTCTTACATCATCCACTAGGATAGTTTAACCCCTTAAGGACCAAACTTCTGTAATAAAAGGGCATCATGACATGTCACACATGTCATGTGTCCTTAAGGGGGTTAAAAAGAGGAGTGTCTGCCCCCTCTCACAGGGGGGGGGGGGCATAGTGTAAACAAGCAGAGGAACACTCTGTTACAAATACATTGATTTACAACATTAGTGTTCCTTTAAGGAATGAATCCCTGTTTGTGCCTCCAGTCTAGTCTCACAATTTTAGGGAATTGAAATCCGAATGGCAAAAATGAGCTGATCTGGAAAATTTCTGCAACTGAGCGATAGCCACAGCTTGTCTATTTCAGATTTCATTTCTGTACTATTCTGAGTGCAGTTGTTCACGTTGAAACCAGTTTTCGGAGAATATAAAAGGGTGCTGCACGTTTTAGGCTAAACTAGTTGAATAGGAAAAATATCTTCAATTTGGCTATTTTACCAGCTCCGCTATTTTGGTCTAATATCCTGTGTTGGCTCCCGGTTTAAATAATAACCCTTACACTATCCAGTTTTCCATTCACCACACTGAGCTACCTGATCTATTTGCAGGATATGAAGAAACAGAGTTTATTTGATTCACCTGAAAACACTTAGTGGCAGTTAAGTCTAGGTCATACACTTTATACTCTCAGTGTACGCTCAGCACCTATTCTCGGTACCTCCATTGTGGACATACGTTGAACAATGTCTTCTTACTTGGAGCTGTGGCTGGAGCAACGCGTGCTGAGTGATGAATTATATGAAGAGGTAAGTTTGTAATACATATGGGTGGGCTTCTCTCAACAGATGTTCTGTATATCTTCCTGAGACGTGCTGCACTGCAGTATGTAGAACTCTGATTCTTTAAGAATCAATGAATGAATTAGTCAATGAAAAAGACTAGCTAATTGATTGTCCTCCAGCATTGAATTATACATACTACAGGGAAGCACTTTTCATGTACTGCCCATCAATGATGCGTCCAGGACAACATAGAGGATCTAGCAGCCCTACTTTTTCTAGAGTTTACAGAGATTATTATGTTTTGTGGACTAAATGTTTAAAGGGACTTTAAAGGCACCCATACCACGTCCCCTCAGCCGAAGATACAGGTTGGCCGTGCCGAGACAATTGTGTCATGGGATAGAATGTAAGAAGAACTTGCCTTTTAAACCCTCAGGGAGGGTATGGCAGAGACACCTGGATTGGTAGGGGAACACTATAACGTTTAGAATACATGGTTTTTATTCCATTACGCTATCATGTTCCTTTAATTTTTTAGATCAGCTCAGCAGAGTTTATAACCTGAACTCTTTAACCCCTTAAGGACACATGACATGTGTGACATGTCATGATTCCCTTTTATTCCAGAAGTTTGGTCCTTACGGTGTTAAGAATTATTTGCTAAATTCTACATAAATTGAAATTAAGGCCAAAATGACCAAGCTAAGACTGATCATTCAATAAAGCCCAAATACGTTAGGTCCAGATTATAAAAATAGTTTGATACTATCTAGGTGTATTTGGACTTTAAAATCCAGACATTGTTCTCCATGTATCACTGTCCACATATTCCTGTACTGCTTTCTAGTTAGACTTAAAGGAACACTGTAGGGTCATGAATACAAACATGTATTCTGTAGTGTTAAAAACACATTTTATGGTCCATGTCCCCATCTTAAATATGGTTATCTGGTGCGGTACATGTCTGCCAGCGCTGGCTCTGCCCCTTGGCTGAGATCATCAAAATTTCCCTATGGGAAAGCATTGGGAGGCTATTGCGCATGCACGGCAAAACGCACCAATCGGCATTTTCTCATAGAGATGCGTTATATCAATGCATCTCTATGGGAAAAGTTAAGCGCCTCCACTCGCACTAACCCAGGAAGAACTCTAGTGGCCGTCTGAGTGAGGTGTCCTTAGGGAGAAATGTTAACACGTTTTTTTTTTTTTTTTTTTCTGAAATTGCAGTGTTTACATGAAGATGCCTGCAGGGACAGGGAGTAGACACCAGAACAACTACATTAAACTGTAGTTGTACTGGTAATTATAGTGTCCCGTTACGCCTGCCCGTTAAAACCAAAGGGCTGATATCTGAAATAAAGGATGGAAGTGCACAACCGAATGGTCCAATTCAAAGACAGTTAGAATAGGCATCTGTCAGCATGTAAATTTAGTCCAGCCAGATGTGTACAATTCCATTTTCCTGAATTTCCTGGCAGGCAGTTGCCAATTCTGATAGAAGCTGTAATTTGTAACTTTTTTGGTAATTATTGTATTAAATTATTATTTTACCAATTTGCCTTCTTGCTTTGCCAATAGGCAAATAATGTGCATGTTTGTAGATTCTCCTGCAAAAAGGAGATGAAATTATCCGCAGAATTTGCTTCCTACTGGATTTGTTCATAGTGAATCTGGTTACAAATCTTCTTTTGTTAAATGGACCCTGAAATCGGGACTGTTAGGAGGCCTGCAATTTGTTGTAGATATAGTGTAACAGTAGGAAATATCATTATTTACATTGTATCCCATGCCTTGTCTTCATTTCAGATAAATCCAAATAATTTGCAACTAAATACCCCTTTTAAACTGTTGGCAATCTCAGTAAAACTCAAAGCGGGTCTGTCACTTGTCAGTATTTCACAAATATATAAGCTTTTATGAAATCCTGATTAGGACTGCCTTCATTGGAAGTAGGGACTACTTTTGTTTAATGGTAAAGTCTGAGCTTAAATTTCTACAACATGCAGAGCACTGCCTTTGACTTTTGCCCAATGCTAGCAGCAGTCACAAATGATGGCTGTGGGATTCAGACTCGATCCTCTGTGATACCCAGCGGTATATCTCGCACATGCGCAAGAGTCTAACACTGACGTGGCTCCTGGCATCTAAAGCGTCAGTTTTGGTGGGTCCTTGCAAAATCTGCATTGTCAGGGTAAATCCAATAAAGTGAGAATTGTTGGAAATTTAAAGAGAATTTCAAATTTAAAGTCAATATCGCTGATTTATTGTTCAGTTTGTTGAATCACACTGAATTTAATGCAGTTCTCACTTTTAGTGAATAACCCTGTGTATGGCAGGCATTAAAGTAGTCGCACTCCTACTATACCATTGTGCCTCCTGTTTAAAATGAAGACATTCGATAAATTCCCTGCTGCTTCTTGTCATTTTCCTAATCTTATTACAGTCTAGCTGTTTTCTGTATGGATATCCCTTGCTGGACGCGGTGAGTCATTTTTGTACCAGTGTACCTCATCTAGAGTTCCAGACCCACCAATTTATTTATTTTTATTTGGGAGGGCACATATTTAAAATGGGCAGTGCAAGAAAAGTGGTGCCCTGCAGTATGTAGCATTCACATGCTACATGATTCTGCAGTGATTAAGAACTTGCTCTCCCTCCTTTAATATTTTAATTCTACACATTCCAAGGAGCCTATTGGTATGTACAGTGTTCAGGCATATGTGATCAATATGGCAACCCTACTGCTATCTTTCTGGGAGTGGTGAGCTTCAGGGGTCCCATTACTGCAATATAGGTGATTCCCCCCACCTCCAACATGAAGGGGGGTCTCTCCGGGCGCCCCATGCTGAAGGGGTTAATGTAGCATTATTTGGGCAGGTGTCCCTTGTTGAAATTGTGATTGCTGCTAGAAAGGTATTTCTCACTTCCGGGGAGTAGGGGGGCTCCAGGTGAGTATTAGCGCAGTACACGTTATGCTCCCTGGCAGGTATTCTGCCAGTAAAATTATCAATCAGCACCCTGTGTGGCCACTGCCTGCCTCCACCCTAGACTTCTGTAAGCAGTACATGCAGTACATTCCTCGGATTCCCATCCCCCACAGCTCGGATTCAGCCATAGGAAAACCTGTATTAACATTGAGAGGGCATGAGGTTAGCTCGCAGACCTGTCTAATAAATCCCACCTTTTATATTACAGTATTAAAGCAAAGCACTGTTTTAGCTGATCCATAATAGTTTACAGTGAAGCCTCCATCCAAAGAAGCTGTTGGGAACATGTATTCCTTTATATAACATGGCAGCTCTAGACTGGATATATTGCAGTAAATGCTCTCTGTATATTTCTAGGTACAGCGCATAGCTCTGTGTGTCCTGGACTAGTGATGGAATGCTGGGTCATTCTTTTAGAGTTGGGAAATGTTAAGGAAAAACTTGAAAGCCTGGCTGATCTGAGTCATGGCAGGCTATGTCTCCCAACCCCCAGTATATTAAGAACCTCATGCTTTCTCTTTTAACCCCTCTGTTATGAGCGATCAGTCTTTCTTTTATCTCTGCTTTTACTTCATTACCTCTCATTCTGTGTTTCTTATTTCAAACAGGTTTGCTTTGCTACATTTTACTTCTTGGTTACCTTCCCTCTGCTCTGTCTCTCTTCATCTATACTCTCCACGCCAAAGTATCTCTACCCATCTTCTACATTTTCTCTATTCTACATATTTTAGATAGATCACTTCCTGGCGCCAACCTTCCTTCAACTCTGTACCTCCATTACTTCTGCAGCACTGTGTCCTACGCCGGTCTGGCCTCCCCTGCGCTCCGTCCCTCCCCGGGGGTCTGGCCTCCCCTTCACACTACTCTTCCTTGGCATCAGTCTTCCCCTGCACACCGCATCTCGCTTCTTCCTTATTCTCCCTATCGTTTTATCATTGCCCTCCGCTCTCCAAAAAGTCTGTCCCTTCTGAATCTTCTCTTAAGTCATCAGAACATCCCCCCCTCAATGAATATGCTTGCTGTCTTTAGTCAGCTTTCCCACTAGACAGTTCATTTTAAGCTCTTGAATCTCTTTGGTTGGCTTTCTGGTTGATATTAAAAATGAAGCATTTTAATGTGTGCATATTCTCTTCCACCTGTCCCCCCCATCCATTCTTCATTTTGATGACTCTGTGTCTATTTCTGAAGTATTATTTCTTTGCTTATTTTTCTCGGTGGCCAATTTCAATAACAACTGCTTCAGAAATGTCTTTTGGTCGCCCAGCACACAGATGGTTAACAAGTTAATGCGGGGGGGGTTCGTTGAAAATATGTGCGCACACCGTTAGAAATGGTGTATACGACATTTAAAGCTAATCTCTGTCTTGCAGGAGATCTTTGCCATGTCACTAACCCCCCCGAACAGCAATGACGCCTGTCTCAGCATTGTGCACAGCCTGATGTGCCACCGGCAGGGGGGGGAGAACGAAGGCTTTGCCAAGAGAGCCATCGAGAGCCTGGTGAAGAAGCTAAAAGAGAAGAAAGACGAGCTTGACTCTCTGATAACTGCCATCACCACGAACGGGGTGCATCCCAGCAAGTGCGTTACCATCCAGCGCACCTTGGACGGAAGACTGCAGGTACAACATGGTGTATGTGTGTTCATGGAGCTGAACATGTACGTGTAGTGAAGTGTGTCACTGAGTGTGTGCAGAGAGCGTATTTATGAAGAGTGTGCATGTGTCGCAGCACAGGCTGTATGTAACGTGCGTCACCACATAGAGCAGCAGTAGGCAACCTTCCACACTCCAGATTTTGTGAACTACACCTTCCATAATGCTCTTATAATCATAACGCTGGCAAAGCATCAGGGGAGATGTAGTCAAAAACCTCTGGATTGCCGAAGGTTGCCTATACCCTACGTAGAGTGTGTTTCAGCACAAGACATGTGTACTGCATGCAGCATCTTTGTATAATGTGCATGGTATGATTAACATGCCAAGTATTTTCCAGACTGCAGTATGAATAGTTTTAATTAAGTCTTTTTAAATCATGTACTGCCCCTTTTCCTTGTTTCTAGGCTTCTCGCTCAGCCCAGTAGTGAGGTCTTGTTACTGCACATAGGCTCAGCCACTAACATTCCGGCCTCTGAATGTATTGCTTGTGTCAGAACGTTGACTTGACTTGTGGAATGGCTAGTCAAACTTCTCCCTGGCTATCTCTACTTGATGTCACATACCAGCTACACACCAAGAAGCAAAATAAAATTCCCCCCCTCTACTATCCAGCTTCTTACTAACCACAATAGATGGCCATGAATAACATATTGGTTATATACCAGGCAGTGTCCGTATATATTCTAGTTCTTCATTGCTGCAAGCTATTTCTTCCTTCTGTTTCCAGCTAGCCCCTTCCTTTCTACCCACAGATTTTGTTTGTATGACTGCTTGCTCCTTCTATGCCTCTGGCAAGCCCGCTTCTTTCTTCTGGCCTACGGCTACCTCTACTACATTTGCTCCTGGCCTCTGGCTACTTCCTCATTGCTTCTCACTGGCTCCATTCTGGCTATTGGCCTACAGCTACCTGGACTCTGTTTTTGGCTTCAGACTGGCTTCTTTGTGGCTCCTGGCCTAATGCTACTTCACCTCTTCTCTTTATTTTATTCTCTTTCTGACTCCTAGCTGCATCCAAGTGCCTTTACACTATGTTTCTCCTGTAATCCTCAGTAATTCCAGCTGCTCTTTCTGTTTGCTTGCTCCTCCTCTCATTCCCGAAGTCTCCTTCTCTCCTCCTTCAACTCTTCCCCCTATCCTTGCTTTCCAAGTCTTCTACTTTCCTTCTCCCCAGCAATTAGCAACTGGGCTGGCTGTGTTGATGAGTCACTGTCTGGCAGGATCAGGGGGGGGGGATGTTTTGTCTGCAAAGATCCCTCCAGGGAGAGGAGTGTGAGGGGGGAGGGAAGCAGGCGCTGCAAGCGTACTATAAACAGTACGGACAGGAAGGCCTTGCTAACAGGCAAACACCCAGTTCTAAACACTGTGGGAGCTCATACTCTACTAGTACTGTCTGACTTGCAGGACTGGTGGCTCGAGTCAGGAATTTATTTAGGGAGAGCAAATGTAAATCTTAGCCAGTCTAATTTCTGTAAATACTGACCTGTAGCATACAGTCTGACGGAGGCAGCCTATAGATTTATACAGCGGTTATGAGCATGGAGGAGTTAAAACACAGGATAACCTGCTTTAGATTCAGATCTCCGGATAACAAAGAGGACATCATGATTTTTCCGCTTTTGTGCTGTTTCTGTGTGCCCATTCTTTGATTTCTGTTTGACCTTCCTATACTCGCATGTGTATGTATTCCATGTAAACGTGGTCCTGGCTGGTCAGATACTTTAAGGCAGTGGTTCCCAAATCAGGACTTATATATTTCTTTTTTCTATTCCAAAGGAAATACTGACAAAACCAGGACTTTTACTGGTTCCTGAACCATTGGCTTAAGGGTTCAACAAATGGGATCACCCACACACATAGCCTTTGTAAGATTGAGTGGGATACATGGAGTGATGGGCATAACACAGGAAAAAATGAGATCAGCTGCCAACGTGGAACACTATGAACAAAAATGGTCTCTAGCAAACCATAGACTGAAACTACATCAGAAAGAAAAATATTAAATAAACATAAATTTAGAATGTGTAATCACAGGAAACAAATGCCTAGTTAGTACAACACATATACTCCTAAAGAGTTGCTGCACTTTTTTCCCCCTCTCTTTAGTACTCTGAACGTTGACCTATGTAGCCTTTGTGTACCCTGTGTGGTATATGTTGCTGGGTATTCTTTATTTTAATATGACCATTTTCTTTACTTGTGCCAGTCCTATTGGGAGCAGTGAGCACTATGGATATATTTTGAGACTTCCACCGGCTGTAATGCTTTGTTGTCCTCCCCAAAAATAGTTAAATATAAATTGAGCATTCCATAAAAGTGCAATCTTTATCAAATACTGATGTCATTGAAATTTCAACGCAGTCAAAAAAATATCATAAGACAAATTAGGAACTTCTTCGTCTTGTGTATTTATTTCCTCTGCTTGACAGAAGGGAAAAGCTGTCATCGTCCAGGTTTGTCAGTTACCCCAGCTGTCACTAGTCCTCCATAGACATCTGTCTAAAACACTAATCTGCCACAACATTAAAACCACCTGCCTAATATTGTGTAGGTCCCCTTTGTGCTGCCAAAACAGCTCTGATGCATTAACGCATGGACTCCACAAGACCTCTGAATATGTCCCGTGGTTTCTGGCACCAAGACATTAGCAGCAGATCCTTCCAAGTCCTTCACGTTCCGAGGAGGAGCCTCCATGGATCGGATTTGTTGTTCCAGCACATCCCAGAGATTCTCAATCGGATTGAGATCTGGGGAATTTTGGAGGCCAAAGCAACACCTTGAACTCTTTGTCATGTTCCTCAAACTATTCCTAAACATTTTTTGCAGTGTGGCAGGGTGCATTATCCTGCTAGAAGAGGCCATAGCCATCAGGTACACAAAGGGAACACAATTGCCATGAATGGGTGTACGTGATCTCAGGCAATCTCTAGGTAGGTGGTACATGGCCAGTAACATCCACATGAATGTCAGGACCCAAGGTTTCCTAGCAGAGCATTGCCCACAACATAACACAGCCTGCCTTCTTCCCATACTATTTCCTGCTGCCATCTCTTCCCCAGGTGCACACTAACTCCGCCATCCACCTGATGTAAAATAAAAAGTGAATCATCAGACCAGGAAACCTTCTTCCATTTCTCCATGGTCTAGTTCTGATGCTTGCGTCCCCATTGTAGGCACTTTTGGTGACAGAAAGGGGACATCATGGTCACTCTGCTGCGTACCGGGCCGTGTAACCTCAGACCCGTCAAACTGTGATCACTGTGTGTTCTGACACCATGCTATCGTGGTCCAGCATAAAAATTTTTCAACAATTGGAGCTACAGTAGCTCTTCTGTGTAATGGACCAAAACGAGCTAGCCTTTTTGGGCCCTTGTCAAAGTCAGGAAAACTTTATTGGGTTCCACAGACTTCTGGCAGGGGCTCCTTAGCTAGAACAATGTAGATCCCACCTAGGCATACTTTTAGACATCGGTAAACCCCATGTTATTTTTTTTTTTAGTAGTAGTAGTAGTAGTAGTAGTAGTAGTAGTAGTTATAGTTATAAAGCTCCAACAAAAGCCACAGCGCTGTACAATGGAATTATACGGTATTCCTGGATAGCTCATCCCCAAGCGCCCTAACTGGTAAAATAGAGCCTTATACCATGTACGATTAAACGTTTGACTGGCCGCGATGGAGTTCTGAGCTAATGAATAGTTACGTGCAGCCGGAGTTAGCAGATTTTCTCTGAGCATAGATAGGTGACCGGGTGGTAGGAATTTCGGGGACTTGGTCTGGTAGTGTCTACTAAGAGAAGGCAAGAGCCATAGCAGCGTGATTATCAGTCGATCAATGTTATTAATTTCACCTGTCAGTGCTTTCAATGTTGTGGCTGATCAGTGTATAAATGTATTTAACCTCAACTGGGACCCCAGGCCACTGCACGCCAAGTGGCAATGTCACCATCTGGGGTCTTTATACAGCAAAGACCACAGAAGGTGACAGTCACTTTAAATTAACATTGCTCAAATAATTACTTAGAGGGATCCAAAAAGGCTTGCTGCCATCTTCATAGTGGTTTTTATCTGATCTCTGCGATCCTTTCTCATACAGGTGGCTGGCAGAAAGGGATTTCCTCATGTTATATATGCACGACTGTGGCGCTGGCCCGACCTGCACAAGAATGAGCTGAAGCACGTTAAGTTCTGTCAGTTTGCCTTTGACCTGAAGTACGACAGTGTTTGCGTTAATCCATATCACTATGAGCGTGTGGTGTCCCCAGGCATCGGTAAGCGTTTGTGGGAATGTCCAAACAATCCTTTATTCTGCATTCCTGGAGTGTATTCCTGCCTTGGATGATTTGTTGTTGCTCCATATTAAAGGTTGTTTTCTTTGTTACAGGACTGAGTATACCAAGTTCCGGTGAGTGCACTGTATGCAGAATACACAGTTCTCTGTTTATGTTTTTCTCTCTTCTTTGTAAATGGTTTCTGTCGTGCATCCTTTGAAATACCTGTTGCTTTGGCTGTTCTTCCTTGTCATTCTGCTTTCTGAATGGCCTCGGAAAATGCTTGTTCTTCTTGTAATGTAATATATTGTCCTACAGCAAGTACTCCTTGTCGTTCAGTTAAAGAAGAATATACCCATGAGTGTGAGATGGAATCTTCTTCATGTCTCTCTGTACCCCAAGATCTCCCACCGCCCATCAAACGGGTTACACTACCACCAATGCCTCCTTCAGAGTCCTATCGACAGCCACTCCCCCCGCTTACATTACCTAAAAGTCCACAGGCTGCCGTCAGCATATATCCCAATATGCCTCTGTCACCTTCTGGTGGGTATTCTCTGCTTTAACGTCTTTCTGTAATCATATGGTTGGCTCCCAGAATGTAATAAGGAGTTAAATAGATCACTGGTAAGGTCTGCTGTATAGAACTGAACACAATACTAGAGGGGATTATAGAGAGTTAGTGATAGTACTTTATAGATCCCGGGTAAGAAATCACCTAGAGTATTGTGACCTAGAGTATTGTGTTCAGTTCTATAGAGCGGATCTCCAGGAGGATATAGAGAGGTAGTGATAGTACTTTATAGATCCCTGGTAAGATCTCACCTAGAGTATTGTGTTCAGTTCTATATAGCAGATCTCCAGGAGGATATAGAGAGGTAGTGATAGTACTTTATAGATCCCTGGTAAGATCTCACCTAGAGTATTGTGTTCAGTTCTATAGAGCAGATCTCCAGGAGGATATAGAGAGGTAGTGATAGTCCTTAATAGATCCCTGGTAAGATCTCACCTAGAGTATTGTTAATGATCAGTATGATGTGCAAACGCAGATGAGCTGACATGCCTTTGTGTCAGTCTATGATTAAACCAACTGTGATTGTGATACAAAAATTCCAACTTTGTAAATATGTTTTTATTTCGGTTTATATTGTCGAGAATTAGTCACATTGAGACTCGCAGGTCTCCGTAAGCCTTTAGGGCACAATAACCAAAATACAACATGTGCATAGCTTTTTTATATCGGCCAACCGGGCGCGCAGGCCCACAATTGCTGTGGACTCGCAGGTCCCTTACAGCATGCTGTTCTTGTCCCTAAGCTGATGTGACGTTTACATTCAGTTGCCCCGTTTAAGTCTCATTATGCAAACTTCAGTGTGGACTCGCAGGTCCACTTAGGGTGGGACATGAGCAGCCTTTGGAAAGGAATGACTGTCTGCAAAACCAGCATTGGTGACGTGCCGGTCACCATGTAGTGGGTGTTATAGTCGGGTGTCGGGCCCGTGAGTAAAATTCCAACTTTGGACTGTCTTCTCTTCCTCTCTGATTTCTCTTAAAACAGCTATGTGTGTTACTGACCTAGAATCCCTAAATCTACCAAGTGTAGTAGGCTTTAAGTAAAATAATATACTTGACAGGATTCAGCAAATCTTATTTCTCATCTAACCAAACCTAGAATGAGAGCTAGAGCCAGGGACGGATAGCCTGTAGCTTTGAAGCTATAATGCTGCCAAGAGATCTGTATTCTTATAGTAGACGGAATTTGCTGGCGCTATAAAAATAATAAATAGATCTAAAAGGTGGAGATAATGTGGAATGCAGTGCTCAAGCCTGGCATTGCCAACAGGTTGTAGATTTGTGGCCAGGTCTATTTTGAATGCATTTGCTTTCTACATACTGTTTTTAACGCCTACTGTTTTTCATACAGTTGCTCCTGGCTGCCCTCTTGGCCCCCTCACACATGGGGATGGACTCTTGCAGATTGCTCCATCCCACCAATCGTTGATGACCACTTCACCCCCTTCCACGCCAAGCCAAAATTCACAGCAGAATGGATACCCATCCCCGCCCAAACAGCAGTACCTCCGTGAGTTACCACCCTCACATCTTTGACGACATTCATGTCCATTGATCCTTTTTTTATAAAAGCTTTGCACAAACCGATTACAGATTTTTTTTGTCCCTGCTAGCACACTAATAACCAAGAACTCATTACAGAATGCCAGGAATATGCATGTTTTGCAGTGCTGAATGTCTTTTACTCATGTTGTGTCTATGTGCCAGTGGCCTCACCTATTGCACCTGTCTCTCTGATTTTACAGCCACGTGGACGGGAAGCAGCACAGCTGCATATACCCCTAACCCACCCCAGCAGAACGGGAGGGGGAACCAACAACCAAATATGCATCATCAAAATACATACTGTAAGTCTCTTATTACATCTGCCTTGAACTCTATGGTGGTCTCTTTACAGTGAAATTATTTTTTATGTAGTCTGTTTTATTTTTTTTATTATTTTCTTGCTCTAGGGGAAAATGATCTCCCCTTGTGATTTTCTCTTTATCCCTTTTTATTATTTATTACATTACTTTCACCTTACTATTTATCATAACCTCTTGCTGCCTCTTCCTTTCAGGGCCCCTTCACCAAAACCCTCCGCAGTACCAGCACCAAGTCTCCAACCACCCAGGTGAGGAACTCTCCAAGAACATGGACAGACGAGTGACACTGTGGCACCTGCCAGTGTTTCTACCACTCTTTTCCCTCTTTCCCCAGGCCCAGAATTTTGGTGTTCCGTTGCCTACTTTGAGATGGATGTCCAAGTCGGAGAAATATTCAAAGTTCCCTCTAATTGCCCTGTGGTCACGGTCGATGGGTATGTGGACCCATCTGGTGGTGACAGATTTTGTCTGGGACAGCTGTCAAATGTGCATCGCACAGACACAAGTGAGCGAGCTCGGTAAGAACCTGAGGACCAGGAAATGTCCTATAGTACATAGAACAAGGAAGGGAAAACAACAAGGAGAATGATATGATGGCATCCTGCATGTAACAGTGCTGTTTTTTGTTTTTGTTTTTGGTTGAGTTGTCGTGCTGTTATTATTTTATTTTTATTTTTTTGGAACAGGTTGCACATTGGTAAAGGAGTGCAACTGGAGTGTCGGGGAGAAGGGGATGTCTGGATGAGATGTCTCAGCGACCACGCTGTATTTGTGCAGAGTTATTACCTAGACAGAGAAGCTGGTCGTGCACCAGGGGATGCTGTTCATAAAATATATCCTGGAGCTTACATTAAGGTGACTGACTAACTTCTACATCCACTGAAATTGGTTTTGGTTAACTTAGGCATGAACTGATTTAAATAAAATTCCCATCACTCTCTGAGATGTGATAATGACTGCACGAGCCAGGTGTGTCATTACTGGCTTACTGACAAAGTACTATTCCATGCAGTTAGTGGACCTAAAGTGTCTGTGTGTTTAATCTCTGTTCCCTAGGTGTTTGATCTACGGCAGTGTCATCGGCAGATGCAGCAGCAAGCAGCCACGGCACAGGCTGCGGCTGCAGCACAGGCGGCTGCTGTGGCTGGAACAATCCCTGGACCGGGCTCTGTGGGGGGCATTGCTCCTGCTGTCAGTGAGTATTGTGTACCAAGAAATACACGACTTTTTTTTTTTTTTTAACAAAAGCAAAATATACATATGTAATGTAGGCAAGAACTATACATGCAAAGGATTGCAGCGGTCGGTGCCCTTTATATACCCTGAAAGAGCATACAGTCCTTACACCATCTTCTAACCATGTCTTCCATTGAAGTCACAATTCCTGCTTTCAGAAGTACAGTGATATATCTTAAAATTGTCTTTATTGGGTATATCAAGCAAGTTTTAAATGTTTCTATACTGTTGGCACTGCTGGCAAGCAAGATTATCAGTAGACTGGAGTCCCTTTTCTGAGTATTTAGTAGTCCGCTGGAAAATTAAGCACTTTTGGCTTTTTCCATAGGTCTGTCTGCTGCGGCCGGTATCGGCGTGGATGACCTTCGACGCCTCTGTATCTTGCGACTAAGCTTTGTAAAGGGCTGGGGTCCAGATTACCCACGACAAAGCATCAAGCAGACCCCATGTTGGATCGAGGTCCACCTCCACCGCGCCTTGCAGCTTTTGGATGAGGTCCTACACACGTTGCCCATGGCAGACCCAAATTCTGTGAATTAGTCCTGCCTCCCATGATGATGTATCAGCCAGTGTGATATCGTTTCTGGGAAAACTTCTCTAGAGGCTCGAGAGTTTACACGTTCGGAGACATTCACCTCTACGAGTTGTTCAAATCAAATATCAAGCAGAGTTCAAATGTTTCACATTGTCCCATCTGCAAATCGTCCCCAATCATATGCCAGATGGATGGGGTAGTACTGCGCCACAGAGATCGTAATTTGCACCAGATGCAAAGAGACTAATCAGAAGCTGACTAGAAGCCAAAAGACTCCACAAAATGTTTGTGACCCTGTGAATAGTCTGAACTCAGCAGTTTGGTGACAAGGCATTTTAGGACTCTTGGAACTTGCGCCGTTTAGAGGGAGAATTCTTCATCTTGTAAGATGTCATCTATTGTAGAAAGCCTTAAATTTCTTCGGACTGAGCTTTACATTACTAAAATGCACATGACATTGGGTGAAACTGCAATGGCGTTAGCGTTTTTATATATATACATTAACCCTGTATTACTTAAAGACCTATTCAAAATTACAGGCGCTCTCTTTCACTGAGCACTTAATGCATTAACTTCCAAAAGAAATATGTATTCCCAATTTTATTTTATTTTATTGCCATTGTGGTCAAAACAATTTGTGGCTACCTCAGTTGCAATCTTTGTTTCCTCCAACACCAAAAGAAAAGATTGCATCCATATCAAAAAGGCAATGGTCAACTTCTATATATATATATATATTTTTTGTTTGGTTTTTTTAAGATTGAAATGATCATGTGCCATTATTAGATAGAGCACACCAGTAATTCATCTGTGTCTTGCTTTTATATTTTTAAAATATTTTTTAAACAATTTGTCAAAATGAATTTTACAAATGGAAGAGTGCTTATTTACCATGTTTAAAATATTAGAAAAGACAAAGCCCTACCAAAAATCCTCAGTATGGGGACACGGGCACAGATATGGAGAATAGTCAGTTTTTTTGGGGGGTTTTTATACAAAGAAGGTTTTCACAAACTGTCATATCTTCGGACTTAATCGAAATAAAATATTTATGTACGGTTGCTTGAAGAAAATGAAGTTCTATTTTGTTCAGGATTGCTGATAGTGACTCGTTTTGGTTTTTTTTTTCTGGAGAGTGACGGTCTTTTTAAAAAAAAAAATTTTTTTTATTAATAGCTCATTGTTCTCTTGGATCTCTACATGTCCCGTGCTCTAAAACATGAGTTATAATTATAGGTCTGATTAATTTCATATATAAAATATACCCCCTAACCCAAACGAAGTCTGAGCTGGGGACTTTGGGGATGTAGTTGCAGGTGGCTGTGGACCAGACCAAAAAAACAAGATATGTGTTTATTCATTTCAACAATTTAGTTTGAAAATTCATATTGTAATGTTAAAAACGAATTAAACCATGCCATTCATATATCAAACCCTGGTCCAACCCATGATGGCAATACAGATTTTCAGCCAGATGACACAACCATTTAGTAATCACTGTTCTTTAGAATGTGTTAAGAATGAATCCACTCAGGTGTAAAAACCCCTAATTCGCTACAGACCTCGCTTTGTATATAAATTATATTAATAATTATAATGTAAAATGATTTCTGTGAGAAATTTTAAATATTGAGCAAAATGTACTATACAGACAAAAATCCAAAGGGAGGACAAGCACAAACTTGGAGCAGTGGATGAAATATTAATTTGTATAAAATGATCTGACACGTTTCGTCTAGATAAACGTAATCGACTTAATCATAGAGAATAACACACACAGAAAAAAAAGCCAATGGTGAACATCTGTAATTAAACAATACCCATTAGCCAATCCTGACATGTCTGTGTTTTTGAGGCACCAGGGTTGATAGGACTTTATGGAAGCTTGCAGACATTGCAGTTAGTTACATTTATAACGAAGCTGTGATGTTACTTCTATTAATTTGATATCACACACAGCTGGACTCTTGGACGGGAAATTAAAATGCATATTAACGAGGGAGGGATGGTAATGCCAGAACATATGTTAGTACTACCGCACATGCAAATAACACCGTGTTTGATTTCAACTGTACATTTCTTGTTGGAAACAAAAACTGAAAAATGTATTGCTTATATACTGAGTGTCACCACGATGCACTTCTTTAGATCGTCACTTGTGTGTAGCAAGTTATCAGTTTGTGACCGTGTGGATATTGTTTTGATAGGTGTGAGACGTGGCTTTTGTGAAACCCAAATAAAAGAGTTACTTGCGCACCATCCCAAATCCCTGTGTATATTTAAATAAATGGAGGTTTTTAGTATTACTCCAATGATCATTAAATTGTACGCTTGCCTGCCAGGCCTTGACATTGCAGGTGATCTTAAAATGTAATGGCCATTGGTGTAATACTAAAAACCTCCAGTTATTTATAGAGATCCTATAGTGCCAGGGAAAACATGCCCGTTTTCCTGGCACTATAGGGTTAATAGCCCCCTTCCCCCCCTCACTCACTCGGGGCCCCACCCCTGCTGGGCTGAAGGGGTTAAAACTCCTTCAGCCACTTATCTTAATCCAGCGCTGGGCTCCCTCGGTGCTGGTGACCTCTCCTCCCCCTGCCGACGTCAGCTCCCGAGTGGAGCCGCGCACTCATTTAAACCGCCCATAGGAAAGCATTAATCAATGCTTTCCCTTTAGGGATCTTATTTGATGTTGGACTCTGTGAGGACATCCAGCGTCATTTCAGTGCGATTTCTGAGAAGCGCGGAAGTGGCCTCTAGTGGCTGTCAGCGAGACAGCCACTAGAGCCTGGATTAGCCTTTCAGTGTAAAAACAGCAGTTTCTCTGAAACTATGTTTACAGCTGCAGGACTAAAACTAGGGGACCTGGCACCCAGATCACTTTATTGAGCTGAAGAGGTCTGGGTACCTATAGTGGTCCTTTAAATATGCATAGGGATTTCCGATAGCGTGCAAGTAACTCTTTTTTTTTTAATTATTTTTATTTTTTTTATTGTATATATTGGGGCTGATGTTTACTGCTACTGCCCAGGAGTAGTGGGAATCTGAGCGCAGGACTTATTTTTGTGTATATGGCTTTTGTGAAGTCTGTGCCGTTTTATCAATAAGTACTTCAGGCTTATTCTCTAAACTAGAATACAGAGAATGTGAATTTCAACTTTTACGCCAAAACAGATAAAATGGAAATATTGTCCAAGTCCGCTATGTTTTCAGTTCAGTTTACAGTTTGTATGTCACTTAGAATTCTACCATTTGACATGTTGGTGAAATAACCCTGTAAAAATAAATTAAAACAACTTTATATGCAGATGTGTAGCTTTTGGATTTGAAATGCAGAGTCTTTTTCTACTCTCCACATTCTGACGGTGATATTGTGCATAAGTTTACATTTATATTTTGTTGCATCTTGGGAGAATTTCGTGGATATTTTGTAGCTGTAGTAGTTCAATAGAGTTTATTATGCTAGAAATTTAGCAAACTGCCCTTACATTTATCCAATTTGGAACCTTAATCACCACAGTTGGCTTACAAATTCAAAATAGCTCAGGAGTATATTCTCAGTTGAATCCTGATCTATTTCTACAAATTATTAAATGCTCTGTATTGCTGCAAACATTGTAGGGCAATTGAATGGGACGTCCGTTAAGGTAGGTGGATTCTTTGGATCTTTAATTATTTACATTTCTGGTACCATAGCCCAGGTACTGGAAAAAGGAGCGGGTTTGCAGTGCTTCCAAAATATGGTGGAATCCAATCCGACTTGACCATGAAGTTCATCGATTCAATAAGCGAATCGTGTATTGCAATCTCAAGATCATCAAAGTAAATTAGGCAATGGGAAAAAAAAAGGCCTCTGCTCTGAGATGAACCATCACAATCTTCGTCATCTTGGTGAAACAACAGCGTAAAAGGCAGGCAAATTAACTGACATGTTCCTCCCTTCCAATGCAAGAACCGCTGGCTTACTTGGACCACCAGTACCGACAAATATTCTTCCTGGACATCCAGATGCGTGAACCAGTTGTCCTTTACGAGTATGTCTTGTAGAAAATGTACACACTCCATCTTGCAGTGTCTGTACACTATGCAAGAGTTGAGTGGATTTTAATTGGCTAAAAGATCAGGAAGAGCACATTCTGATGAACAAGGGTATTGGATAATCCATTGATCGAATAACAGTCATCCACTCGCGTCCAAGAAAACCTTTTCATCAGTGAGGTAAGAGGACAGCTGTGAATCTCTGAACGTTTCCCACTATGCTTCTTTAACATATGGGGAGGTTTTCGTGGTAGTAAGCATTCAAATTTCGGTACCCATCTAAAGCGTGGTGGTCCTCTTCTTTCCACAGGGCAGGGGAGCATTGTCCTCTGAAGAATGGGAAGGCGCCAGAATACAGTTTACGTCCTCCACTTGGCATGCCCTTTTCTTGTCTTTCGAGCTGTTGGATGCCAATTTTGAGCCCTTCTAACAGCGTTTAGACATGGTAGCAGGATAACATCACATTTCTGCTCTTCTAAAAATCAATTTCCTCTACTGACCCTCGTGTGCTTTGAGCTTTCCAGCACGTAATGCACTCTGATTGAATTTGTGCGAGTACTTTAGACAATGCATTTTCAACTGTCAGCCACAGCAGTGTTTCACGACCTGATATTACAGAGGCTGACCAACAGAATCCTCCATGGCTAGAAACCCTCACAGGCAGCGAATTTTGTCTGAGAGACCGTAAATCGTTCCAATATAATAAACGGGCAACGCTGCAGAACTGGGGCTCACCCAGAATTTGCCCAATCAGGGTGGGACAGCACATCCTTTAGAAAGCAGCCCTCTAAAACAAGAACTGTCCAGAGATCGGTACATGGAAAAGCCCTATGATTGCCAGGATGTTATAAGCGGTTTATGTCAATAAGAGATGCACACAGAAAAAACGGGCACAATCAAAGCAATAAATAAATGAAGCGAGATGTTGGCCATGCTCAAACCGGTCCGCGAGAGATGACCTCTCACGACCCACGCAAGGCGAGGAAAAGTCACACTAGGCCTCTGGAAGTCCCCTCAAACCCGAGATAGCCCCTTCGTAGCTTAAAAGTGGTGAGGCAAAACGGGGCCGCAGATGGGGGATATAAAGTCGGGTAACACAACTAAGTGATGAAGATGAAACACAATTAAAAAACTAAATCGAGAAATAAATCAAGTAAGGCAAATAAATAGTACAGTCTGGACTACAGGAGCCCAAACCTCTGAGATGTGCTGGTTCCCTTATATTACATGATATTATCTTCTACTCGTTTTCTGATTGGTTTACAGTTTGTCTTGTTAATTGGTGCTGCTGTTGGAGTTCGTAAAACATGTTTAAAGCAAAATTATGAAGACTCCTGTCATTTGGTACAGTAACCGTGATAATGCATTTCTCCTAGGGTCAAATCGCCACCTACTGACAATAGCAGGTAATGCAAGTCAGTTTGATATAAACGCTCTAATTTACATTATTATTAATGTCATGTATATATTGCCAACTTATTCTGCAGTGTTTTCCATTATTATAAAGATAAATTTAGCAATAAGAAAGAAAAATACAATAGTGTGAAAATTGGCGCTTATTATAAATGAATAAGTATTATTTGAAAACAGCAGATACTAACACTGTGAATACTCCTGTAAATCACACAATAAAAACAAAAAAACACTCAATTTATACTCCGTGTTTAGGTGATATGTCCCACCAAAAAACACAAAGTGAGAGCAAAGTGATACAAACACTTACCCCTTAGTATATACAACGGGGCAGCATATAGACATATAAAAAACATAATAGTGCAACTCTGTATGATATGAATATTGGTAGTAAACACTCGCATTTGGGGAGCCTTTTGTAGAAAAAAAAGCTCTAAATTGTATGGGCTTACCTGCGATTAAGGCGGCAACACCACCTTCTTGTGCAATTGTATTGTCAGTATCCTCCAATAATGGATAGACAAAAAAATATTAAAAAAGAAAGGAGAGCAATTTGGTGCAGTATGTTTGGGAAATTTTAAACAAACAACTCATTGGTTCTTCAATGTAGAGTACATCACCATTTCATATCTCATCATACTGATTGAGGTGGACGGGCGAAACGCGTCTTGGGAGAGCCACCTTAACAGGCACACAATTGAACATACCCAGAGCCAGGTTCCTTGGGCTCTAGCAAAGGTGAGCGGTCATTTATGGTATATAGAAGTCAACTGTATTATCTCCTATTCTTCCATTTTTTTGTCTCCTTAAGAGTACATACCACAGAATCTGGGAAGGGGATTGTGCTAAGTACACTACTGCAAGAACGACCTGATGCTGCCATATCTGGCTCAGAACCATGTGAGTTTAACCATCACTACTTCACATAGGGGTCTTACAAGTTTAAAGTTATCTGCACAATACAGATCTTTTTCCTTTTTTAGGACATCCATAATTTTTTGTTTCTCCCCAACCAGGGGTAGGTTTTTTAATTGTATTGTATATACATACCATTAGATGTGCTCAGCTCTATAAATTGGCGGTGGTTTGCCCCTCTAACAGTCTTTTATTTATAAATTTGGTGCAGTATGTTTGGGAAATTTCAAACAAACAACGCATTGGTTCTTCTAATGAGCTTACAATGTAGAGTACATAATCATTTCATATCTCGTTCTAGTGGTTTTGGTACTAGAAATCTATGGACGCTGCCCTGTCCGTTTTTTATCAAACCATTCTAGAAGGCCTTGTCAATAACTGGGCTCTCCCCAGCACCCCTTGTCCGCTGCCATTTCAGCTTCCTTGACAATTTAGTGACTACATTTCCGCATTAAAGGGACACGCCAGACACCTAAAGCATTCTGACTTGCTAAAGTGCTTTTTGTGTAAAACATTTCTTTCTTTTTTTTGTTTTACAAAGAGTGCAGAATTTAGAAGAAATTAGAACTTTAATAAATTACCGTGATTATAGCCCTCTAGTTGCAGGCTGATTAACGATGCCCCTATGATGGTGATGGAGGAGCAGCAGAGAGGTTATTCCCTGTATATATGCTTTGTTTCGAAGTGAAACTCTGCACATACAGACTGCAGGCACCATAACCACTTCAAATAAATAAAGTGGTCCTGATGCTTAGTGTCCCTTTCACAAATGCAAATCTGTTCACAGTTTTTTAAGAAGGTGAAGATTGTGATGCAAGACGTTGGTTCAAAATGTTTCCTAGTGGCTTGTACCATTGATGTACACATACCACCGTGAACCTATGTAGTTTAGTCTTTTTGTCCCTAACGTCCAAGACAAGAACAAACAAGGCCTTTTCCTTGTGATAATAAGACTGACAGGGTTATTTACTAAAATTAGAATTGTCAGAAATTTAAAGTGAATTTCAAATGAGTCGTCAGTGTGTAAGTCTGTGCTGTTTCAGCTTGGTATTAGATGGTGTGATGTTGCGGATATAGGAAGGTCACAGTATACCAACTCAGACTGGAGAAACAGCACAGAAGAAGACCCCTGCCATCCTTAGCTTGCTGTAGTGGTTATGGTGTGTAGAGTATCCATTTAAAGAACCTCACTAAATCTGTTCTAAGCCAAAATAGACTTGGAAAATCATGGCTCAGTTTGAATATTTTTTTTCAATTCAGCTATTTTGTCTGAACATTTTAATTCTTTGAATTTTGCCAATTCCTGGTTTTGTTGAATAACTCTGGTAACTCTGGCAGACTTGTCTCATGTATTCGCATGGTGTGCTGGAGAGTGAGACATGCTTTCAAGATGCTTTAGATGATGGGACTTGTGCTCAATAGCGATCAGATAGCCATGAGCCATGTAAATGAAGAGCAGAGCATGTTTTCAGTATTACTCAGGACAATGAGAGGTGTAGTAAATAGAGAGCTAGGCATTCCACATGTAGTGTGAGCAGAGACGCCATCATGGATCCCGCAAACCTGACCCTATACCACCAATGTGCATATGGAGATATTTTTTTTTAATTAAAAAAAGAAAGAAAGAAAATGCTTACTGCCCACACAGAAGCCCCTGTCCTATGCCAGAAATGTATACACACATATTGCATTCACTATACAAACACACAGTAACAAAAACAAAGCAATTCAGTGTGTTAGGTGCTTCAAAATTAGTGATGTGTCACAGCTAGTAAACAACCAGTGATTCCCCAATACTGAAATAAATGTGAGTTAGAAAGTATAGTGCTTATACTAGCCAGGGAAAAAAACACAACCTGTGACACAATAAGTGGAGATATAAAAACAGTATAAACGAGTTATACAGACGCATGTCTTCTAAACTATTAAATACAGACACACACTGTATCCACAACACACACACACCACACCAATTACACACACCTTACATTCACTACACACACCTCATCCACTGTACACACTGTATCCACAATAAAAACACTGCATCCACTGTACACACACTGCATCCACAATAAAAACACACTGCATCCACAATAAACACACTGCATACACTGTACACACACTGCATCCACAATAAACACACACTGCATACACTGTACACACACACTGCATCCACAATAAACACACTGCATACACTGTACACACACACTGCATCCACAATAAACACACTGCATACACTGTACACACACTGCATCCACAATAAAAACACACTGCACACACACACTGCATCCACTGTACACACACACTGCATCCACAATAAACACACTGCATCCATAATAAACACACTGCATACACTGTACACACACTGCATCCACAATAAACACACACTACATCCACTGCACACAGACTGCATACACTGTACACACACTGCATCCTCAATAAACACACACTGCATCCACAATAAACACACTGCATCCACAATAAACACAC